CGCGAATGTCCACTTTACCTTATTTTTTGCAAGGGATTCTTGAAATTTGATTATATTAGAACAAGAAATGTCATTTTCTATTGTTTTTTGCAAGGGAAAGCGGATTACAACAAAACAACCGGATCCTGTACACACCCTCTTTTCTGAGGCTTCCTCACGAAAATGATGAAAATGTAGCTGCGGCCTAGGCGGCGCAGGGGGGGCGCGCACCAGGGGGCCCAACAATAATTATTCTTTAGAATAAATAATGTTCAATAACAACAACAACAACAACAACAACAACAACAACAACACCACCAGCAACAGCAGCAATATCAACAACAACCACATCAACAACAGCAGCGACCACAACTACACCAACAACGACAACAAAAACAACCACAACAACAGCAGCAGCAACAACAACTACACCAACAGCAACAACGATAACAAGAACAATAACCACAACAGCAGCACCAAGAACAACCACAACCACAATCACAACCATAATCACAATCACAATCACAACCACAACCACAACCACAACAACACAACAGCAACCACAACCACAACCACAACAACGACAACAACAACAACCACCACCGCAACGATGACAACAACAGTGACAACAACGACAATCCGTTGTTTGACTGCTCACTCTTATATGTTCGCGTGCCATGTCAACACGTGTACCCCAAACCCTCGGTAATTACCCGCCCTCTTCGCAGTCGATCGTACACCCCCAGGTTAATTTCTTCCCTACCTGCCACGTGCAGTTGGCGCAGCCGCTGAAACAGGGGAAGGGAGAGAGGACGGAAGAGACAAGGGGGAGCGAGAAGGATGGAGCACGAGGCAGAGTTGCAGGAGGAGCGTCGGGAGAAGGAGCACGAGCCGCAGAACCAGACCGGCGGGTCGGGCGGGCGAAACCTAACGGGCGGGTCGGGCGAACGGGCCCAGACTGCTTGTTGGAGCGGGCAGGTCGTTAAGGCGTCGATCCAACCTGAATCGCAAGGAAGCTTCGAGCGATAGCCCGATTCCCAAGTAAATCGCGAGAACATCCCGAGCGAGAGCGTGATTCCTGAGTCTAGGGAGGCACGGCGCCGCCATGCATTGCGAAGAATCACCACGCGAGAGCGCGATTCTTGCATAAACTCTGAGGAAGCCCCGCGCGAGAGCACGATTTTGAAACAAATTGTGAGGAAGTAATCGAAAAATACCATTGTCACCAGAAGGGGAAGATCAACAGTAATTATTGTTAGAAATAAGAGTTCAACAAGAGCCACCACAACAACAACGACGATAATTTTAAGATTGTTCACCTTTCTTTGCTCGCTTGTCGCTCAACACGTACACCCCAAAACCATCGATACCCGCCCTTTTCGTCTTCGATCATACACCCCTAGGGATCTATCTTCCTTACCTGCCACGTGTGATTGGCGCAGCCCCTAAAACAGGAGAAGGATGGAGCACGACAGATATTAGCAGGAGGGGGTTCGGAGCAGGAGAACAAGTGGCAGAACCAGACGGGGCGTGCTGGGCGGGCGGGCCCAGACGGCCGGGTCGACCGGGCAGAACGTTGAAGTATCAGTCTTGCATGATTCGCGAGGAAGTATCGAGCGACAGCGCGAGTCGCAAGGAAGTCGTGAGGAAAGCCAAAGCAAGAGCGTGATTCTTGATTGTCGCGGGCGCGGCGTCTCTATCATTTTGGAGGAACTCCCACGCGAGAGCGCGATTCCTGGATGCATTGTGAGAAAGTCCAGCACGCGAGCACCTCTTTGAATGAAGCGTAAGGAAATAGCAGGCGGGAGCCGTTGTTGTTGTTGTAGTTTGGGGTCCAGCAAAGCAGCATGGGGCTCAAGATCTTCCGTTGAAACAAACCGGGTGCGAGCCCCAGGAGGGGCACTTCAATTGAAAAAACAGTGGGAATCCGAGGGGGGTCGACAACAATCATGTTTTAGAAATGACGGATCAATCAGTTTCAGATTTCTCTTTCTCATATGATCGCGTATCAGCCAACATGCATTTCCCAAACCCTCGACACTTGCCCTCTATGTCTTCGGCCGAATTCCCTTTGGGATATCTCTTGCTTCCCTTCCACGTGTAGTCGGCGCAGCCTCTTCAAAACAGGAAGAACAGAAAGAGTTGACAGGGAAAGAGCGAGGAGGAAGGGAATGGAGGAAGGGAGGGAGGAGGGAAGGGCAAGAGGGAAGGAGGGAGAAGGTGGAGGACGAAACGGATCTGCTAGGGATTAGCATGGGGAGATGGTAGGGAAGTCTCGAGCGCGAGCGCGATCCTTCAGCAAATGTTGGTGAAGTCCCGAGCGAGAGCGCGATTGCAGAGTGCCGAGAGAGCGCTTCTCTTAAATTGTAAGGAGGTATCAGGCGGGAGCGCGGTAAACCGGGGCCCAACAGCACAGTCTGAGGCGCAAGCTCCGCGAGGGGCACATCGATGGAAAAAGCAACAAGTACCTTAGAAGGGGGTCAACAATAGTTGTTGCTTCGAACCGAGAAAGCAGCAACAACAACACCAACAACAAAAACTAAAACAACAACAAAAACAAAAAACAAAAAAAAATAAATATCAGCTTCAGAACGTTCGTTCTGAATTGCCCACGTGCCATTAAGACTAAAAAAGATCCCAGGCCATCGATACTCGCCCTCTTCGTCTTCGATCGTAGCCCCCTTGGTACCTGCCAGGTGCAGTTGGCGCAGCCCCCAAAACAGGGGAGGGAAGGGAGGAGGGAAGAAACAAGGGGGAGGGAGAAGGATGGAGCACGAAACAGATTAGCAGGAGGGGGTCCGGCGCAGGAGAACAAGCGGCAGAACCATACGGGCGGGTCGGGCTGGCGGACCTCAAGGGGCGGGTCGGGCGGGCGGGCCCAGACTGCCAGGTCGAGCGGGCGGATCGCTGAAGCGTCATTCTTGCATGAGTCACAAAGAGGTTTCGACCGATAGCGCAATTCCTAGGTAAATCGTGAGGAGGTCCAGAGCGCGAGCGTGACTCCTGAATGTCGGGGGCGCGGCGTTTGAACAAATTGCGAGAAGGTTCCCAGTGAGAGCGCGATTCCTACATCAATTTAAGGCAGTTCTGCACTAGAGCGCGATGTCGAACTTGGGAGGAAATATCAGGCGGGAGCCGTTGATGTTGTAGTCCAGGAGCCGTTGTTGTTGTAGTTCCGGGGGCAAAAACGCAGTTTGAGGCTCAAGATTCTCCCTTGTAAAAAGAAGGGTCCGAGCACCAGGAGGGGCATTTCAATTGAAGAAGCACAAGGTGCACCGGAGGGGGATCAACAATGATATTTGGTCCGACATGAGAACGCAACAACAACAACAACAAACAAGCAAACAAACGAACTAATTGACAAACAAACGAACACAAGACAAAACAACACAAACAAGTTCGTTTCTCTCCATCTTGATTGCTTCCAGACATTGTATGATTGGGCATACTTCCTCCACGGCGGTGGCTTCGCGCTCGCAGTAGTGGCCGCGTTGTGCGGTCTTCGGCGGGTGCGGAGAGGCCGACCGGGCGCCCTGCTGGGGCATCGGCCGGCCCCGTGCCGCTGCACGGCGCCCGCTCGCGAGGAGGGCCCATCGTCAGACGCAGCCTGCGGGCTGAGCGGCCCACTTCCTCCAGAGTCCGTGCCGAGCCGATCGATCCGACTCGATGTCGATTCTGGCCGCGGCCCGCGCCGCCTCGGTGCCGATGCTCCGATCGTCCGTCGCGGCCCGATGCCTGCACGGGCGCTGTTGGGCATCCCGGCGCAGCCGATCCGACTCGCTGCGAGCTCCGTGCCGATGCGGCCCGCTCCGACGCACAGCTCGATCCCGCGTGGTGTCCCGCTGCCAGTGCCGACCGGGCTCCGCCTGCGGACGGAGCGGCCCATGGCGAGCTGTGCTCCAGTCCGCGGTCTCCCCCGCTGGGCGCGCCCCCGCCTGGCGGGCCTCACGCGCGGACGAGCATCGGCGCGACGCCGATGAAGATCCGGGGAGCAGAAGACAAGAGGGAAAAAAACACACAGACACAATTAATCGACGATCCCCAGGGAAATATGGGAAGCGGGGGGAGACAAAAACCCAGAAAATATGCGAAAATATGGGGAAGTGTTTTATTTGTGTGTATTTATTTGTGTGTCCCAGGGCCCCTTCAAGAGGGTAAGTGCAAGGAGTGACGCCCCAAGATCTGCAGGCAGCCCTCCCGTTCCGCGCGGGTTCCCGAGGCGTGGGCCGCCGGATGCTCGCGGAGCTCCCCCCGGGGCCACATCCCGAGGCGATCGCAGCATGACGTCGTTCAGGAGGGAAAAAACACACAGACACAATTGATCGTCGACTCCCAGGAAAATATGGGAAAATATGGGAATTGGGCGGGAAGACAACAACCCAGAAAATATGGGAAAGTATGGAGAATCATGTTATTTGTGTGTATTTATTTGTGTGTCCTGGGGCCCCTTCAAGAAGGTGAGTGCAAGGAGTGACGCCCCAAGCTTTGCAGGCAGCCCTCCCGTTCCGCGCGGGCTCCCGAGGCGTGGGCCGCCGGCTGTTCTCGGAGCTCCCCCAGGGCCGCATCCCGAGGCGATCGCAGCTCCTCCTCCTCCTCCTCCTCCTCCTCCTCCTCCTCCTCCTCCTCCTCCTCCTCCTCTCCTTCCTCCTCCTCCTCCTCCTCCTCCTCCTCCTCCTCCTCCTCCTCCTCCTCCTCCTCCTCCTCCTCCTCCTCCTCCTCCTCCTCCTCCTCCCCTCCTCCTCCTCCTCCCTCCCTCCTCGATCTCTCCTCCTCCATCTCCTCCCCCCTCCCCCTCCACCTCCTCCTCCTCCTCTCCCCTCCTCCTCCTCCTCCCCCCCTCCTCCTCCTCCTCCTCCTCCTCCTCCTCCTCCTCCTCCTCCTCCTCATGACGTCGTTCTCGTCCCAGAAGTGGTGTCGGGCAAGCGCCACCGCTGAGGTTTCCGGTGGTGGCCTCTCCCTGTCGATCCGCGACCCTGCGCCCGCAGATCTCTCTTCCGCCCAGTGCCCAGCGGCTTCCCGAGGCCAGCCCTGGGAAGTCCCTCGCATCGCTGATGGACAGCTACTTGGGAGAGCCATTGAGGCGGGCACCTGTGGAGGGGGAAGGAGTTGGGGAAGGGGAGGAGGAGGAGGAGGAGGAGGAGGAGGAGGAGGAGGAGGAGGAGGAGGAGGAGGAGGAGAGGAGAGAGAGGAGAGGACACTACGAGGAGAGGAGGAGGAGGAGGAGAGAAGGAGGACGAGAAGGGGGCGGACGAGGAAGAGGACGAGGAGGAGAACGAGGAAGGAGACGAGGAAGGAGGACGAGACGAAGGACCAGGAAAAGGAAAAAAAGGAGGAAGAAGAGGAGGAGGAGGAGGAGAAGGTAGAGGAGGAAGGGGAAAGGAGGAGGAGGAGGAGGAGGAGGAGGAGGAAGAGGAGGAGGAGCAGGACGAGGAGGAAGAGGAGAGGAGGAGGAGGAGGAGGAGGAGGAGGAGGAGGAGGAGGAGGAGACAGAGGAGGAAGAAGAGGAGTAAGTGCAGGAAGAGGAGGGAGGAGGACCTGGTCCATTGTGAGTGCAGTGACACTCTTCCTCGTGGACTCGGGCCACTGCCCGCGCGTCCTGCAAGATGTATCGGCTGGTAGACTGTGGAGGTGGTGGCAGGCACGCTCTGGGGCCGATGCAGTGGATACGTATCTGAACTCGAGTGTAGCGAGCAAGCACTACCAGGAGCGCTCGCGCCCGAGCTTCGAGGCAATGGTTGCCGTTGCCTGTGTCCCAAGAAGAGATGCCTCAACAGTGACCTACAGTTCGCCCAGAGCCAAGCACGCGGCCAATGGTGATTGTCGCCCCCTGTGGTGTCGAAGGTTACGCCAGCCAAAAGTATCGATGCTACGCGGGTATGCCAGCACGCTGCTTGTTGTCTGGAGGGATGGCTGGCAGGCAGCAAGCGCGCTGCATTCTTGGCCGCGGAAGTTTGCTCGAGTGGAAAGGCGAAGGAGCGGGCAGGAGGCAGGCGGAGGAGGAGAAGGACAGATCTCCCAGGGAGAGGGCACATCACAAGTGGAAGGGGAGGCCATGGGCGACCGCTTGTAGTTGGAGCACCTCGCCTCGGCATGGGGCGCAGTTAGGGGAACGAAGAATAACATGAACATAAAAACTCGAAGGGCCGCGCGGATTTCTCGGATGGGCGCTGGACCCCCCTCCCTGGCACGCGGAGCGCGCCAAGTGCGGCGCTGGACGCGCCGCCGGGGGGGTCCAGCGCGGATCCGAGAAATCCGCGCGGACCTCCGAGTTTGTTATATGTATGCCATTCTGCGCTCCCCTAAGGGGGCGCAGTGGCAGGACGGCGAGAAGCCGGCCCGAACGGTTCGCCCTCCGCCGCCGTCGGGCCCACCGCACCTTGCTGCGCGGTGGCCGCTGCTCCTCCAGCCGTGGCTGCTCCAAGCGGCATGCTCCCCGCGGCCGCCGGGCCCTCCGCCCCTCCCCCCCCCTCCTCCTCCTCCTCCTCCTCCTCCTCCTCCTCCTCCTCCTCCTCCTCCTCCTCCTCCTCCATCTCCTCCTCCTCCTCCTCCTCCTCAGCCCTCCTCCTTCCTCGCTCCTCCTCCTCTTCCTCCCTCCTCCCCTCCTCCTCCACCTCCTCCTCCTCCTCCTCCTCCTCCTCCTCCTGCCCCGCTTCGGCCACCCACCCACCCTCCAGAGGTCCATTTCGATCCGATCCGGTCGAGCCGATTCGATATCGATTGCGCCCCGCTCGGTCCGATTCGACCTCGATGTTCCAGCGGTCCGAGGCGGCCCGACGCTTGCACGGGCGCTGTTGTGCATCCCGGCGCGGCCGATCCGAGTCGATCCTGACGCCTCCGTGCCTGTGCGGCCCGATCCGGCGCGCACACCGATCCGGTCCGAGATGCCCCGACTCGGTGTGGACTGGTCCGGCCCGCTCTCCGTCCCGCCAGTTCTCGGCAGGAAAGTGCCTGGCATCGCTCGGAGGTGTGTATGTTTCCTTCGGCGAGGACCATCGAGTAGCATCCTTGATCATTGGGCGAAAAAACCACGCACAAAACCGACAAAAAACACAGGGAATGGACGTCTGAGCGTGGCCAGAGTGAGGTGTCTCCGTGGGTGAGGACTGCCCTAAGTGGCTGGGGGGGGTAGAGATCCCAGCGAAGCGGGCTCCGCCCGCTCAGCGGAGGTGGCGAACCCACCCAAGCCACTTAGGGCACTTGTAGCCCACGTCTGGGCTAGGCTAAAGTCGGGCATGTCCCTTTACAGGAGGAATATTCAAAAATAGTCCAGAAAATAATACGGGGACGATTCTTCGATTCTTTAAATATGTATTACTGGTCGTCCAAAATCCGCCCGTCGGGGGACATGCCCGACAGAGCCCTCCGGGACCCGCTTCCGCCAGGACCCGCCGCCCTCGTGCCGGACTTCTCTTGTTCTTGGCCTAGCTCCCCACACCTCGGGCGGACGGCACCGAGTGGGCAACAAACGCATAAAGAAAACAAAAAAGATTAAAGTAAATGTTCGACGCTCCGCACGGATTTCTTAGATCTGCGCTGGGACCCCTGGCGGCGCCTCCGGCGCCTCCCCTGGCGCGCTCCGCGCGCCAGGGAGGGGGGTCCAGCGCAGATCCAAGAAATCCGCGCGGAGCGCCAAAAGTTTATGTTTTGTCGTTTTTTTTTTGGAAGTCAAAAAAAAAAAAAACAAAAAAAAAAAAAAAAAAAAATGGGCAATAAGCGCGTGGGGACCAGGGACCAAGGGTCGCAGGGAACAGGCCCGAAAGGGGCCCGAAGCGGCCCCTGAGCTGCCATCGCTGGCCCACGAGGTGGACGACAGCCGCACGGTTCTTCACCCCACGTTTTATTGCCCACCCGTTGCTCCTCCTCCTCCTCCTCCTCCTCCTCCTCCTCCTCCTCCTCCTCCTCCTCCTCCTCCTCCTCCTCCTCCTCCTCCTCCTGCCCACCCGTTGATAACACCCGAATGCGGTCAGGAACTTTGGCTTCGCGTGTCACTCCGCCGGCTCTGGCCCACCACGCTCCGGTGCCGCAGGCTGTCCACCTCCTGGCCGCCCAGCGTCCACGTGCCGGGTCGTCCCGCGCCTCCCGCCCCGCGGAGCGGAGCGACACGCTCTCCGCCTGCCAGGCACAGCGTGCCGCCAGGGCCGCCGCCGCGACGCGCTATCCAAAGATAGCCCTGCCCGTATGACCCCCACGCTGACAGCATCCGAAGATCCGTCCTTGCCGCAGTCTCCCGCCAAGCCCGCCCCGCAGGGGCAGCATCGCCTCGGGCCCGGCGCTGTGCGTGATCGCTTGCTTGTGCTGGCACGCCAGCGCGATGCGCGCGGCCCTCAGACGAGCGGCGGGGGAGAGCTGGGGGCCTGTTCGTCCCGTCGCTCGAGGACGCGCAAACCTTAGCTGCCCTGATACGCCCGTGTCGACATGCGACACGTACAGTGATCAAGACGTCCGTGCTAACGCGCTGCGTGTTGTCTGGACACGTGTTGGTCCAAGATTTGGCGACCGCGTCGCGCCAGACTTGCGCTCTCTGTCCACGACTGCGTGTCGACACGCCGCCGCGTGCTGCGGATTGCGTATCGGGGAGGCGCAAACGCGCACTACAGAGCGTGCATTGCCGACGGGCCCCGCCTCCGTCCAGCATCGGGGCGCTCCGTCGCTCTCCGATGCGGCGACACGGGCCTCCCCTGTCGGGGGCCTCTTTCCCCGATCCGTGGAGTTGGCGCCCACACGCGCCAGAGCCACGGGTCCGTGATCTTAAGTCGGGCCTGTCCCTCTACAGGGGGACTATTCAAAAACAGTCCAAAAATAGCCTGGGGACCATGATCTGATTACTTTTCGACCATTCTGGAATATTTTGGGGGTACTTTTTATGTTTCGAAAATCCCCCTGTAGGGGGACACGCCCGACTTAACCGTAATCCACGTTAGCGTGTGTCCCAGCGTTGCCATTTGCCTTGAGCGTGGCTCCCAGCCGAGCTGGGAGCGGACGAAGAACGAGCGAGGAAGCGCTGGGGACCTGATCGTCCCACCACGCTTCGGCATCTCTTCTGGAGCGCGGCTACCCGACGAACCGTGAGGGGGAGACGAATGAGCGGGAGAGAGCCAGGGACCTGCTCTTCCGGCCACGCTTTGCCCATCTGTTTTGGGGCGGAAGGGCTCGGGGCTTTCTGAGCCCAGCTGCCCGCAGTGGAGCAGGAGGAGGAGGAGGGCGACAAGCAAGGAGGAGACAGGCGAAAGGGTAAGGGGCGAGGGCGAGTAGGCGGAGGATTCAGGTAGATGAGGAGGACGGCGATAAGCGACGAGGAGGTAGGGGAGGGCGAGGAGGAGCAGGAGGCGGCGGTGGAAGGGGGAGGGTCGGCCCCAGGCGGCGCGGTCTTCTAACAAGGCCGTCTGTACCACTGCCATGTCGCCTTCTCTCGCTCAAGACAGTGTGCGGGGTGCGGCATGCGACTCCTCGTATTAACACAAATATACACACCGCAGGCTTTCTCCACCTTCACATTCCATTGCCTTGAGCCCCCCTCGCTACTCCGCCTCTGTCCCCATCCCCGTCCCCGGTGGGTGGTGAAGGCAGGAGCCCGGCGCGCCCGCCGCAGAGGCGCCGCGACCACGAAAGCGAAGGCGGACGAGGAGGGTGAGGGGGCACTGCAACGCAAGGGGGACGGGGAGGGCGAGGCGAAGGAGAAGGAGGAGGAGGAGGAGGAGGAGAAGGAGAAGTGGGAGGCGGAGGATAGGCGGCAGAGAAGGAGGGAGCGAATGAGGAGGAGGAGGAGGAGGAGGAATGAGGAGGAGGAGGGGAGGAGGGGGAGGAGGAGGAGGAGGAGGATGGAGAAGGAGCAGGAGGAGGAGGAGAGAAGAGGAGGCGGAGGATAGCGGCAGAGAAGGAAGCGAAAGAGGAGAGAGAGGAGGAGAGGAGAGTGATGAGGAGGAGGGGAGTGAGGGGTGGGGAGAAAGTGGGGAGGAGGAGGTGGACTGAGGATGAGCAGGAGCTGGAGGGAAGAGCGGGCGCGAGGCCAGGCTGCATCCACGCACGCCAGGCGCCGAGCCGCCGCCTCGGGAGTCGTGCGCCGGGCCGACCCTGGGGGCTGCAGGGGATCGGCCCGCTCGGCCAGCTCGTGTCCTCGCCCCGCGCAGCGCCCCTGGGCGGGGGGCGAGGAGGAGGAGGATGACGAGGAGGACGAGGAGGACGAGGCGGAGAAGGAGGAGGAGGCGGAGGAGGCGGAGGAGGAGGAGGAGGAGGACGAGAACGAGGAGGAGCAGTGGTCACCTCGCCCCTTGCATACCGCAGGCTCGTTCCTCGCGCGGCCGTTCCACACCAACCGTTCTGCTATGCTCCCTCCCCCGCGGCCCCTTGGGGCTGCAGCAGTAGGCTGGCCTCGCCCACAGCAACCTCGTTCATTGCCATCGCCGTTCCTCGCCCACCGTTTTGCTCCGCCCACCCATTGGGCTCCGTAGGGCTGCAGTGGGTCCGCGAGGCGCCGCCAGGGGGGCTCCCATCGGGGACCGGCGGGCCACTCGTGTTGATATGAGCCGCGCGCCGCCTGAGGCGAAGTGCGCTCCGCGCTGGCGCTCTCCCGAGGCCTCCTGGCGCTGCCGCGCGGCGAGACCACCTGGCAGCTGACCCAGGACGCGGCCGGCCGCGTCGCATAGTGTCCCGCCACGTCGTGCGTGGAGGCGCCTCGCCGCCACTGCGCTCAGAAATTTGGCCCTGTGAGGTCAAGGGACACCAGCTGGAATGCATCTTCGCGATGGGGTCGCGAACCTACTCCTCATGTTCCTGATAATTTTGCTCCTCCTCCTCCTCCTCCTCCTCCTCCTCCTCCTCCTGCTCCTCACCCTCCTCCTCCTCCTCCTCCTCCTCCTCCTCCTCCTCCTCCTCCTCCCCTCCTCCTCCCCCTCCTTCTCCTCCTCCTACTCATCACACCTCCTCCGTCTCCTCCTCCTCCTCCTCCTCCTCCTCCTCCTCCTCCTCACCTCCTCCTCCTCCTCCACCTCCTCCTTCCCCTGCTCCTCTTCCTCCTCCTGTTTGGTTGGTGGACACTCGGTTCAACCTGTAGCGTACATCCTCTCCTCCTCCTCCTCCTCCTCCTCCTCCTCCTCCTCCTCCTCCTCCTCTTCCTCCTCCCCTCCCCTCCTCCTCCTCCTGCCTCGCCTCCTCCACCTCCTCCGCATCCTCATCCTCATCATCATCATCATCCTTCTCCTCCTCCTCCTCCTCCTCCCCTCCCCTCCACCACCTCCTCCTCCTCCTTCCCTCATCCTCTTCCTCCTCCTGTGTGGTTGGGCGGACTCTTAGGTTCAAAGCCCGTAGCGTACCAGATTCCTCTTCATCTTTCGCAACCTCATCCTATCATCATCATCAGCACAGCATCATCATTATCATCATCAGCGGCATCATCCTCATCAATCATCCTCATCAGCATCAATCATGCTCATATCCTGCTCCTCCTGCTTCTCACGTTCTTCCTCCTCCTCCTGCTCCTCATCATCCTCCTTCTCCTCCTCTTTCTGTCCTCTCGAACCCCGCACGGTGGGAGTCGCATCCCCAGGGGGGCCAGGGCGGTGGATGATTGGCTCGCGGAGGCGCCCGCGCCAGATGGATCTCCGCTGAGCTTCTCGAAGTGCTGGAGCTGAACGGGTAGACACGGCATTATGTTTGCTTACAGTGGGGGCATTGGAAAAGGAACCGTTGTAGGTTTGGAGGGATTTACGAGGCAGAGACCTGGGCCCAGAGGGCGTATTGCCTCATAGTTGGTGCATTTGGGGTGCACTCTTGCCGTCATCCTGCTCTGCTTCTCCTGTCTCCTTCTCATCCTCCTCCTCCTCCTCCTCCTCCTCCTCCTCCTCCTCCTCCTCCTCCTCCTCCTCCTCCTCCTCCTCCTTCCGTAGCCATTTTGGCTCAAGGCTGATGCACTTGGGGGCTCCGCGCCTCCGTGCCAAACTGGGATAGCTCTGTTTCCCGAGCCAGTCTGAAGTGATTTTGTGAGCTCCTGCTGGAGCATACTTTGTGAGCTCCTGCTGGAGCGGATGGTCCAGTATGGCAAGCAGGGCTTCTCCGTTTGCGTGCAGTGTGGCAACTGGGCGTGGAACTGGAGGCTCAAGAAGCAGAAAGGGGTGTGCACGGTATGCGATACCCCCCAGCCTGGCTGGAGTACGACGACGAGCGGCACGTGGTGGGCGCCGTGGTCCTCGGGCGGTGGGCGGCACGACCATGCGAAGTCCCTGTCGTCTCTCGCCAACTTCGGGGACTACCTGTCGAAGGCTCTCGCTGGTGCAGGGCTCGATGGGGACCCAGATGCTGCGCGCCTGGCGACGGAGTTCAGCACCATGGCGTCCCAGAAGCTGGCGGCGGTCCCTGCGCCGCCGCCCAAGCCCCAGCACGCGCTGCTCAAGGAGGCTACGGCGGATTGCTCCCGCAAGCAGGAGGCCCTGGAGAAGGCCGCCACGAAGCTGGAGCAGTCCCGCCTCCAGCTCGAGAGGGACCAGGCCAAGTTCGACGAGGCGGCGGACGCTGTCTTGGCTGCCGATCTGTATCGCTTGGAGGTGCAGGAGGCGGCGAACCCGCCCGAGGCGGCCACCAAGCAGTCGGGCTTCGTCCTGGACCCTGGGCTGTTCGAGTGCCTCGAGGAGCTGGAGGAGTCCGACAGGAAGGCGCTGGAGGAGTTCCAGAAGCAGCTGGAGGAGGTCACCCAGCTGGTCGACGCCAAGCAGAAGGAGTTCCAGGATCTGCTGGAGCGCACGAGGTCGGCGCACACGGCGGCGGCGGCCAAGCGGCGCAAGCGCGGCGCCGACGGCGAGGCGGTGGCTGGCGGCAGCGCCGAGGGCGCGCCAGCGGCTGGCTCAGGTGCCGCTGCGGCGCCTGGCGCCGCGGCCGCCGCTGCTGGGCCCAGCAAGGCGAAGGTCGTGGTGCAGGAGAGCGACCAGAAGGCCATGCTGGAGCGCATCAAGAGCGGCGCCCAGTCTCAGGCGCGCGCGGCCGCGGACTGCAAGGCTGCTGGCGCTGGCAAAGGCGGCAAGGCGGGTGCTGGCAAGGGCGCTGCTGCTGCTGGTGCTGGTGCAGGCCGTGTTTAGCATCACTTGCTCCCCGCCCTGCAGGGGGGAAGCTGCAGGAGTACCTCATTCAGAGTCTGATGACGACAAGTCGTTGGACATCTTCTTCGGCAACATTACGGAGTGGGGCCCACAGGCTGCACGGTTCATTGCTCAGGAGCAGGAGCGCAGCATTGTGGCCCTCGTTGAGACGCACAAAGGTGAAAAGGACATGCCAGACATCTGCCAGGCGATCGACAAGGACGGCTGGCGGCTGGCTTACACGGCCGCCCGCTCCTCGGGCAAGTCGGAGGCTGGCTTGTCTGGTGGTGAGTGGATTCTGGCAAAGAAACATATGGCGACGTCGAGCTTTGAGAGTGCTCGACGCACGGCGCTCGCTGCGGGGCGCCTTGACCCTTGCCGCGGCTTCGTGCCGACGGTGATTCACACCAAGGGCGGCAACCTGATCTTGATCGCTGCCTACCTCCAGCCAGGCCTCGGTGTGAAGGGCTGGAACCATGATGTGCTGGTGGCGCTCGGGTCTTTCACGTGTGCGCTCGCGGATCCCTGGCTGGTCATGGCGGACTGGAACATCGAGTCCGAGGCCTTGCGAGGTACTGGCTGGCCCCAGAAGCTCGGAGCAGTCGTGGTGACGCCGCCTTGACGGGCGACCTGCGACAAAGGGCCTGGGCGCATGTATGATTATGGTATTGCCAGTGTGGGCTGTCCTGAGTTGACGCTTCGAGCTGAGTTGCGTGTGCCATGGAAGACACATTGTGGAGTGGTGGTTACTGTGAAGGCCGCCCGATCTCAGCGATGGTATAAGCATTTGGCAGTGCCCAGGCCTCTTCCCGTTCGGGACAGACCTGTTGCAGCTCCTGACCCTGAGAGCAAGCGGTCCAGAAGGAGAGAGGAGCAGAGGCAGAGGCGCATGCAGGCGCTCCCGTTCGAGTTCCAGGAGGGCTTCGACGAGCTGGCGCCGCCTGCACCTCTGCCAGAGTCCACAGTTTCTTTTGCCATTCCTGAGGATACTTGGTTTGAAGCTCAGACGCAGGTGCATTGGGAGGGCCTCCCCCAGCCGTTTGATGATCAGCCAGAGGGTGCCCGCGGCAAAGTTGCAGCTTATGCCCGCAGTCAGCACTTTGTGTTTGAATGGCAGTCTGAGGAGCGTTCGCGGCTGGATGAGTCTTACTCTGCTTGGATTTCTACATTGGAGCGAGCCACTTTGAGTCATGAGCAGGTCGAGCCCAGCACTCGGATGCAGTTCTCAGGTCGGGCGCGCGGCCCTGCTTACTATTGGGCCAAGGCCACCCCCTCGCCAGGGCGTGCTCACATGAAGAACGAGCAGGCTGAGTGGTGGGGTGTGGTCAGCACTTTGTTATTTCGGCATGCTGCCCTTCGTGTGAATGGGGCTGATCCTGATCAGGCTGCCTATTGTGCGCGGGAAGTACAGGCCAGGATTGGAGCCTTGCTTGATGACAAGACGGTCGAGTATTTTGGCAAGAAGTCCACCGCGCAGGAGATCGACTTGTGGAAAGCAATGGCCGCCGACTTGGATCGTGTTCCTGTTGGCCAGCTTACTTCTCTGGTGGATACCACTCGCAGGTGGGCGGACTCGGCGACTTCACGGGCCTTGTTGGCTTCGCGCTCGTCCTTTGTCAAGTGGGTTAAGGATACCTGGTCATCCAAGCCTGGTGCTGCACATCGGCATGTGAAGCAGGCCCCGCCCTTGGAGTGGGAGGGATGCGATGCGTCAGGTGCCATCACCACGGACAAGCAGACGATGCTTCAGACTTCGGCTTCTGAATGGAATGTGATGTGGCATGATCCTGTCGACCAGCCTGCAGATATTTTGCATATGATGGACCAGTGCATCCCAGCTGCGCGAGACAACCCACTTCCTGTCATCACCATCATGGACGTGGATGCTGTGCTGCCCTCGCTACCAGCGAAGAAGGCGAAGGGCGTGGACGTGCTGAACCCCATGGATATTCAGCGGCAGCCCTTGGTGGCAAGGCAGCGTCTTGTGAATATATTGAACAGTATTGAGCAGGCTGGCGCCTGGCCGTCGGCCCTCAGCGCGGTCCTGGGTGCTGCTATCCCCAAGGAAGCTGGAGGTAACAGAGTGTTGGGGCTTGTCCCGACGCCGCACAAAATTTGGTCCAAGGTGCGCGCGAAGCACTCAGGTGAATGGTCAGCTGCCCAATCTGCTTTTTGGGACACTGCAATTGCTGGTTCTTCAGCACTCAGAGCGGCATTGATCAGAGCCGTGATGGATGAGGGTGTCAATGCCCTGTCTTTTGAGCATGTGACACTTTTCTTGGATCTGACCAAGTTCTATGACTCTGTGTCCTTGGTGTTGCTGATGCAGGCAGGCTTGAATATTGGCTTTCCAGCTATCATCCTTTTATTGGAAGTGGGCCTTTACTCTTCTCCCAGACTTCTGAAGAAGGGCAAGATGACATCGGACGCCTTGGTGATTTCACGTTCGATCGTCGCTGGCTCTGGACATGGTGTGCCGCTCGCCAAGGTTATGCTCCATCAACTTATGGAGTAGGTTCACCGTGCGTGTCCCCCGACTGGATTGTGGAGCTATA